TCAGTTCAATATGGAAAACAAGCATGAGGACTGTTATACTCCATATCAATTAAAGCACCCATCCATTTACACACAACAAGTCAAACTTCAGCCCAACATATGGAATAAAGAGAATGTAATGGGTTCATTACAGAAAAAAAAGTACTGTATCATGGTAAAGTCACCATATGGGGAGGGGGGGGTTGTATGTGTGTGTGTGTACGAAGAGGTAAAAAAAAATCTGATTTCAGAGCTGAGCAGCACTTGATAGATAAAATAATAATAAATTAAAAAAATTATAATAATATAATTTATAATAAAAATGTATAATAAAATTAAAAATAATACATAACTAGAAATGCCCATTATTAATCATTAAATATACATTTAAATCTTAAATGAAATTATAAAAAGAAATTATGACCATTTCTATAATTAATTATTAAATATAAAAATATAAAACAATTCAAATAAAACAAAACAATTTTATAAAATATGAACTTTTCTGTAATTCATTATCAAATATAAAAATATAAATTGAAGTAAAAAAACTAATTATATTAAAAAATTTATACAATTATGGACATAATTATATATCTATAATTAATTATTAAATATCAAAATATAAATTCAATGAAAAAAAGATAAAGAAATAATAAAATAATATAAGCAGTATTATAATAAATTATTAGAAATCTATATAAAATAAATCAAATGAAACCATGTCCCTATATATATATATATATATATATATGTAAAGTACCACAGTACTAAATGAGTGCCATATTCATGTACCATGGTATTTGCATAATAATCCAAGGTACAAAAGAAATGTTACAATGGTACATATACAAAAACCTTGAAATTACCATGGCTCAGCGTCCAAAAAATGATTGTATTATTATTATTATCGTTATTATATTTAAGTTAGAAAAAGTACCTTTTTAGTGTCATATTCTTCAATCCAGGACTTAATTTGACTATTTATGCAAACGCCAATTTACCCAGAACTATTGCAGAATTACAAACACACATAACCAGCCTTCTTTCCATCCGTTTCCGAGAAACGGCTCGTAACGAAAGATCAATCGTACCACAATGTGCGGCTGCAAAGTAAATCACAACACAAAACAGGCATGAACCATAAAATCGTTATTAAACAAAGCAAACAAAAGGGTAATTCCTCATCAGGAGCCGCAGGAGGGCAGTTACTTGTAGCCATTTTCATTTATAAACATCAAGAGGTTTAGCAACATGATCCTGCCTCAACTGACTCAATGTTTGCAGCACGTCATTGCTAAAAATCCCCGTCCAACTGCTTGATCAACAGGACGGTTAAAGCTAGAATATGGATCATCATTCAGTGAAACTCCAGCGACTTTAAAGGAGGATTTCTGCAGTCTCCATGAAGCATAAGAGCATTATGATCACGTCTCAGCGGTAATGCAGTGATTATCTGGCTGGTATTTCAGCAGTAATGTGGTGCGACATCAGTTTATGTGCCAGAGACCGAGATCAGGATCCTGCATTATCTCTCTTGGCTCGTTACGCTACACATTTTTAGATAACAGACAACAGCTGATCTGTTTTTTTGCTAGCGAGGGGAAGTGGTGATTGCATTTTCCCCCTTGATTTACTTCTTGATTCCAGTTTGTCCTGGACCGTAACCAGTTGCGCAATTAAGCGCAGAGAAACTCGGCTCTGAGCCGGCGGTCCTGGAGAATAAAACTCTGGAAATAAAGAGTAATGGTGTTGATACGGGATCAGCTTTCACTCCATCCGCTCTGATATGAACAGATTATGAAACAGCAGGCGAGTTTTAAGACGAACACGGCTCCAAGATCTGACGTATACAGCTGAAAGACTGTTAGATGCAGGAAAATGCAACATAAAATGCAAAATAAAGCCCTCGCTCACATCTGCTGGCCTCGTGCATGAGATTTTAAAGACAGCTGACCCTCCATTACAATCACCATCATTTGTGACCCTGGAGCACAAAACCAGTCTTAAGTCGTTGGGGTATATTTGCAGCAATAGCCAAAAATACATTGTATGGGTCAAAATTATAGATTTTTCTTTTATGCCAAAAATCATTAGGATATTAAGTAAAGATCATGTTCAAGCTTATTTATTCAGCTTTCAGATGATGTATAAATCTCAATTTCGAAAAATTGATCCTTATGACTGGTTTTGTGTTCCAGGGTCACATTTGGAGTCAATTCAGCTGAACAGAAGTGCATGAAAAGTGCCTCTGAAATAGCCATTGATGCACATCAAAAAAATCAGGAGACATGAGGATTATGCCAAAGCTCACTTTATAAAATGGGCCAAGAAATTAAAGACATTTCAGGGATGCTGGAACTATTCTGAAAATTTAGCCTTACAAGCTATATATAAATAAAATAATGTATATATATACACCCGACAATGCAATACATTACATTGGAATGTGTCAACTGATCATGTGATTACAGTGTAAAAAGCTTGTAAATACTGATTTTTAATCTAATGTTTCAGGCCCAGAGTTGCCTTTTCTGCCATGGAAGCACACAAGTTTTAAGCTTCAGCTTCATTGGCACAATTTTGGTGGGGAAAGGGTCACTGGGACCTTTATTTTCAGGAGTGGACTGAAGCGTTAACGGCTGTCTATGCTGGTGCTGACATGAGGAAAACGTAAGAATGTCGGACAGCTTGACTCCAGATGATCTGCCTCTCCTCTGTCAACCAATAACACAACAATGGCAAATACTTCATCCCTCCTCCAACCAGTCAAGAAAAGAATGGCAGATGGCCCAGCAGCTCAGTTGTCTCACATCTTTCAGTCCAAGCAATCAAATAAAGTCACAATCTGGCTATTGAAACAAGCTTCTGAGATCCTGTGAAACATTCACTGATCGTATAATCTCCTACAATGGTGCATATATCACTCTTAAAAATAATAGTTCCATACGCCTGACCAGAGGAAGCAAGGCCAGACCCAGAGAGCCGGGTGTTTAAAACCCTACTGTGTAAAACTCACGCAAACAAAGCATCATTAGAGAATAACCTCTGTGTGTTCATGCTAGAAAAACGTCTCTCCGCTCGCTCCATACACACCTCTACGGCTGAGCGGCGTGCCGGACCGCAGCGCAAACCGCCCCGCTGTCCAGAGGAGAGGAAACAGAGGTGCTGCTATAGTGCTGCCACAACACACCCGTGTAAACTGCAGGGTTTCTTCTGTAAACACGGCTGCAGGAGTGCCAAGGCACATGGGATCCCTCACACGAGCGCTGCCCGCCTGTCTCTCCTGACTGGACCTCCGCCATCACAATCAGAGCGTATACAGCCACGCTACACAAATAAACTCCACAACGCAGAAACTAGAGAAAGACTTGAACCAGCTCTTTTGAGGACCACATGCACAAGCATATTCCTAAATCACTACTAAACTGTACTTCATTATATTATATTTTAACTACATATTCAGACTTTAAACTCAGCATAAAGTTGCCAGTCAGATTTTTTATTGATTTTGAAAGAAGTCTGGTATGCTCATTAAAGGAACACTCCACTATTTTTGAAAATAGGCTCATTTTCCAACTCCCCTAGAGTTAAACAGTTGAGTTTTACCGTTTTCGAATCAATTCAGCCGATCCTCAGGTCTGGCGGTAGCACTTTTAGCTGTAGCTTAGCATAGATCATTGAATCTGATTAGACCGTTAGCATCTCGCTCAAAAATGACCAAAGAGTTTCTATATTTTTCCTATTTAAAACTTG